GGAAGATCAATTATGGTAAGTGATTTTTTAACTGAAGTTAATGGACGTCTTTGTTTGAAACAAAATGATATTGCACAACATCCCTATGTACCTGAGGAAGCCTGATGTTATTTAAAACCTGGAATTAATCAGGAAGGTTACTGGACAATTCAACACCTTCTTGACCAAATAGAATACAAGGCAATTCCTATTTTTGAAGCCTTATATCCAGATTGTGTGGCTTTATTTGCTTTTGACAACAGCACTTGTCATGCTGCTTTTAACAAAGATGCTTTGGTTGCAAGTAAAATGAACCTCAATCCAGGTGGCAAGCAACCACTTATGCGAGACACTTATTTTGGACCAAATAAACAATTACAATCAATGACCTTTCCAGAAACACATCCTGATGAGAAACTTTGAGGAAAACCTAAAGGAATTAAACAAGTGTTAGAGGAACGAGGAAAATGGCCAACTGAAGGACTAGTATTAGAATGCAAAGATTGTAAAGAAAAGAATAATGATCTTTCAAGAGTTTCTTGTTGTGCTTGTCAAGTAATGTCCTTGGAACCTGATTTTCTTGCACAAAGGGGAGCAGTTGAAGAATTAATTGAAAATGCAGGTCATAAATGTATTTTTTTCCCCAAGTTCCATTGTGAGCTAAACTTTATTGAGAGATATTGGGGTGCTGCCAAAAGACATTTGCGTGAAAATTGTGATTATTCTTGGCAAGGATTACAAAAAGCAGTGCCTGAGAGCCTTGAATCAGTACCTTTAATTACAATTAGAAGATTTTCAAGAAAGTGCTGGCGCTATATGGATCTATACAGAAAAGGAATTAATGGTAAATTGGCAGAATATGCTGTCAAAAAATATAAATCCCATAGGAGAATTACAGATGGAGAAATAGAAGAATTGAACAAAATTAGAATTAATTGATTGTATTCTTTATTATGAGTAAAATTAGCTTTTACACTGTTAAAAACCCATGTGATAGTATTTTTTTTTTTGACCAAATAAGGTTAAGATATACATTCAAAAATTCGGACTGATCGGCATTTTTTGATGAGTATAGGTGATACGCACCATACCATCATCATAATTTACGGCACTAGTCTTTAATGCACTTAGAGAAACAAAGCATTTCATTGGTTGCATGTGACACCAATAAAAAATAAAAATTTTTGCATAAAAATAAAAATTTATTAATTACAGTGAACCCTCTATAAGTGCACCCCCCTCGGGAACATAGTGCTATTTCTTGTGAGTGTGCATTTATGGAGGGTGTGCATTTATGGAGGGTGATTTCATAAGCTCTCTATAAGATTGGGGATGAGATGGGTCATGCATTTATGGAGGGTATACATAGTGCGTGCATTTAGGGAGGGTGCACTTAGGGAGGGTTCACTGTAATTAATTATAACATCATTATCACCAAAAAAAATTTTATATAATTATTGATTAAGATAAGATTCTATTATGGTTTGCCTCATTGTATTAATTGTTTTCAAAAAACTAATATATCTATCAAGAGAATTAACCAGTTTTATTTGTTGACTAGAATAAACAAAATTCATATTTTTGAGAATTAGATAAAATTACTCTTTTTGG